CGAAATTCAATCTAAGCGTCAGCTCAATTTATATCATTGTGGGAAAATGGTTCTTTTACCAGTCTTTCGTCACCTTAAACGAAATTGGATGAATACATCTCATACTACTTATTTACTTAAGTAGTCACGAAAATATTACTTAATTCGAAAAACATAATAAAGATAATTAACAAAATCATTCTATATAAAGCTGTTTTTTTTCATTCTCCTCCGCTTAAACGAGACTGTTTAAGAGGCAAGATAGAGCCGGCTAGTATTCTTGTCTTAGTGCCTACTTGAGAATTTTACAAGAATTAATCCCAGCTCTGATGATGGACAAAAGCTCTGCTCGTTTCCACCCGAAACAGGGAAGGTCTCGTGGACTGCGTCAACCTGAAGGTCGTATAAAATACATACGGCAGCAGTACAACGCGAGTCACTTCTTCATGCACCTTTATACGAAATGAAAATCTCCAAAATAATGTGTGAGCTTGGCAAGGCATCGTGTCATGTGAATGCCTACTTCGCGCTTCAGCCACATGCTTGTCGATGCGTGCAAAGTAGACCACGAGTACAAGTGTCAGCATGCAGGAGCAAAACTGCACTTCACACATCGTCGGCAGCCAATTCACTCATCGGCATGTGTGTGGGGCCAAAGTATGAAATGAGCATCAAATCATGAAATACTCTCTTTCTTATCCAAAGACCTGATGAAGCTTTCCTAAAGGGCATTTACATACTCTGACGATGTCTAGAAAAGAAGAACATACAAAAGACAAATCCGGATTGGTTGGGCTATCAAGACGGTGAGCTTAGGGTTTGCTTTCACCATTCAACGTTTTCCTCTCCAAACCAATCATCCTTCAGTTTATGAAGAGGCCAATTTACGAATCCTTTCAAACCGACTTTTATTCAGAAATGAAAAGTCACAACACCGTGAACTTTAAAGAGATTTTTTCATGCCAAGCTTTTGTTTATATTTCCAAATAGAAACAGCTATTGAATGTCATGGTCTGGGATAACATATTTGCTGATCATGTGATTTACAACTGTGAATTTGACTCCATGTCGAGTGAAAGTGTATGCATGTACATTACACACATACATAGATATACACATGCATACATTCATACATTATATACGCATACACACATACATGCACGCATACAAACATGTGTTGACAAACTTAGACTTAACATGTCTCCAGAGGAACTGATGGAGATTGTCTCGACGGCTGCACCAACTGGGAATTGGGAGTAAAGCAAAATGATAGCGGTCTTCTAGACAGAATAGACCTGCAAATATTTCTTTATCGCACGCTTTCGCTTAAAAACAGAAGTCAGCTGAACTTGATAAAACCGGCAACAAAAACGAAACTTCTTGCCAGCATAACTAAGTTTAGATTGAGATCAAATTAATGTTGTAGTCAAGAGTTACTTTCGGAATAAGCGTAAAATGGATGCATAAAAGTGGAAAACTTGCCTCGATGGTTGCTTGCGTACAGTTCAACGGCATTCGACCGAGTTGTCTGACCGTTACATCCGCGTTGAAAGCACCTAGTTCGCATTCCATCCAAACAGAAGCATGCTAAAAAATGGAAGAAAACCGGTTAAAAGAGAGATTAACATAAAGTGATTATTGAAGATGTGAAGACCAAGATGTTGTGGCCTCTGGAGTGGTCGCAGTCTCCTTTCGATTGATAGAAGTGGGTTGACCTCGTTGTCGCAACTTGGTCTT